GTATACTGGGAATATCTTAGTGATCATTAAATCAATTATTTTTGACGGTTTTTTCGAGGTATTGACTTTAGGTATCATTGGACGGCTGATAGGATTTGTATCTTCAAATTCTGTAATAGTAGTGCTCTTTAGTGTGTTGACATTGCCTTCCATTCGTTATTCTTCCTTTCGGCAAGCGATCTCTTTATCTACTGCCTCCACAAATTGTTGGATTCCTTCAATGTTTGTTTCATCGTCTGTTGTTTGGCGCTCTGGCTGCACCGTCAAATTCTCTTCAGTAGTTCTGATAGCTTTCTTTACTTCTTACCTGATTGCATCAATTCTGGCTGTTGATATCAAGTTGTTTTTGAAGATACAACGATATTGACCTGCAATATGTTGTCCATTCATATATTTCGATAACTATGAATTCCATATACAAATTTGCCTGTATCCTATTCGCATGGTTTCTAGACAGGTAATTTGAAGTAACAGCGCATCAACTCTTCATTCATGGTCCTTGAGAATTGTAAGTGCTTTTTTGATTGTTCTGTATCAATGGTTGCCAGCTGAGGTACCGGCAAAACATCAAGTTCAAGGGTAGCCGAGAGGTGGCGAGAGCAACTCTAACTTCTTTATTCAGCCATAGTTTCTTGAGAAACCGGCGCTTGCTGATCCAACAACCGGTCATTGGCGGTCTGCTCACAGTCGTGCCCAGCGCCAACTCCAGGCATATCCTGGCATTTCCCAGGCAGCGACTCTTTTTCCCAGGCATTCCGACTTCTTAGGAGTCTCTCCATCATTGGTTTTCTATTCGGAGTGTTCTCCTCCTAGCATTTTAACCCTGCTGACAGGGCCCCTTAGCACCCACCATCCTCCGGGTCAGGTGACGGATGGGAGTAGGATTAAGTAAGCATAAAATGACAGAATTACTTAGGGGGGCCTCGTGGGGGTGAAAAGAAAGGCTGTTGTCTGGGCTATCCGGGACGAGCCGCGTCATTGACATGGTGGCTAACGTTTCGGCCAGCGTATTGTGGCCTTCTTCAGAGCGTACTGCTTTCTAAATAAACCCATTAGGTTGAGGAGATGATTTCATAAAAAACAAACAAACAAACAATGTGGGTTTCGATTTTGACTAAAAGAATGTCAATATTTGATTCTGTTATTATGCTTAATCTCGTACTGCGACACAGCCTATGAGACAGTAAGTCTCCACGGAAGTGGTCGGCCGCATTTAAATATGCTATTCACGAGTTGCGTTATGGAACACAACTATTTGATAGCTTCGATACGTAACTAACTGCAGGTCTCTATAAACATGTTATGGTAGTATTCGTGAAGACTGTTTTGTTAAAATATATGACAAAAATAAATTTACTACACTGCTATTTACGAATAGTATTTTTTGATGATCTTGAGCAGTGTGAGTGCTGCTTTTTTGAAAAATATTTTTGTTTGGTTCTTGTTGTTCAGCGGCTCTTTTGCTTTGCAGGCCACTACTTAACTATTCCTCATTGTCACAGGGAAGTGTCTCAGTGTCTGAGGGAAGAGAGATCCGCATTAACAAATGCCATATGTTCCGATTCCGAAAGATATTTTTGCAGTGCCACTGGCCGACAATTATACAACAATTTTGAATTTAGAGAATTTTGGCCATCAATTTTTTGACTGATAATGTTTAACACACCAGTCACAAATCACGCAATGTCCATCAGTTGATGGCCAAAATACCCCACATTCAAAATTGTAATTCAATTATTGTAAAATATTATGCACTACTTTTGTAAAAAATGTGAGAGTTCCTGTTTGCTGAATTTCAAACGTAGCATCCGCAAGTCAACATGGCTTGCACATGGAAAACTGATCAAATGAAACTACGGCAACAGGGTATTAAGTTTAGTGCAGTAGCTGGCATTCCATGGAATGAAGGAAATGAGTCATTCCCTTACGTATAGGAGAGAAAAGAATCCCTCCCCTATTTATAATATCGTTCTCGTGGCCAGAGCAAAACTGTTGACTCATCTCAGATTCTGAAATTTTACCAGTGGTTGAACCGTAACAACCAATGCTTTCAACATGGTGTCAAGATTCATCTCGTGACGTCACCGAAGCTTCTTCGTTCTTGGAGGAGGAGCAGGCGTTCGACTTCGCCAAGTTTCGTAGTTGGGTTGGTCCGTGACTGCGCGAATTCTTTGGCAAATTCATTCCGCGCAGTGGTCATAGCATCTAGTGACGAAAGTAGAAACCAGGGGACCTCTACTTGCGGATGCATTCTGGAATCTACGCAAGCACTACTAAGCAAGCACTGGGGAAGTTGAACGGTTTCTTGGGTTCGCAGATGTTAGTGCAATTTGACATCCAGACACAGAATAAAATACAATATGACATATTACGACATCAAATGGGGATCAGTGGCGAAGCGTCAGGGTATGCAGAGTAAGCTGAGCTAGCCTTAAGAATATTGAAAAGAAAATTGTAAATTCATAATGTGTCTTTTTAGCCAATTTACCGTACGTAAGTTGCGCACTAAGTTAATTTTTCTGTTCTTATGCGTATTGCATGCGATGTGCCTTCGCCACCCAGTGTTGCGGGCGAGGCCGCTAGGCAGAGTCTTGTCAGTCTAACGCCAGAAGACAGCAATGGGCCAGGGACGGCGCGCGGGGAAGTGAGCGCGCATGCGCATTGAGTATATATCATACGCTGGCTCGGGGACTCGCGCAGAAATTAGCCCGGCCTTACGGTTGTAAACGGCCCTTCAAAACTGTTAAGATTTGGTTTCGGCTTAATTTTTCGTACATCGCGTATTTTTTGAGTTATTTCAAGTTGTCTATTTAAATGGGACACCTGGGACAAATGGGATACCATATGTAGTATTCTGATCTCTATCTTCGTAGTATTAGATATTTTTCACAAATTAAGTAGTTGGTGTTAACAATGTGTTCGTGACTCAGTTTATCCAAAAATAAACCTCACGCTTCGTCACTGCTAGAGATTTGGTTTGGTTGCCTCAAAAATTTGAAATTTCTCCACCTTTTTGTCGTAGAGGGAAATAAAATGCAGTTCCCAGAGGTAGCTTCCATTCAAAGACACCTAGGGGCATTATTTTTATTTCGTTCGTCTCAGAAGTGAACTGATTGTGGCGTATTTAACAGAGGAATATCTTTCAATGAGAATTTCAAAACTTGAACTCTGGGTGGTCAAGCTCTGCGTTCACAAAACTTTATACGTTTTGTGCTCAAATTGCAACAATACCTGTATCCAGCAGTGCCAGAGCCGAACAGTCTTTTTTCTGCTCTTCGGAGACCTCACACGTACTGTAAAAACAACTAGTAAAGCTTAAGTGTGCTGAAGATGAGGAGTTCCACCGACTATAAGTAGTCAAGGGAGTAATTGAAGAATTCAATAAGACTAGAACTGAAATTCAAATGGAGCTATACTTTGACATATGCAAGGTAGTTTTTCATTTTTTTCATCGTAACTATTTCATGACATAGTTTATTTAACTCGAAAGGGGTTTCATGGAAGAACTTGACCCCAGGCGGGGAGGGAGGTTTTACCACACCCCTTACGCCTTAGCGGGCAGCAATCGACAGCAATCTCGGTCGTCTGCACATGCGCACATGCACAAGTGATGGGAAACTTGAACTGCGCATGCGCAGAAGATATATAGTGATTTCGATTGCTTTAACGTACGAGAGTGCACTAACTCCCTATTGTCTCAAGAATAGATTTGTTTTGAGAAATACCCTTGTGATTTTCAGTACGTTTCCGCTAATCTTCTATCTGCAAAATCCTTCCTTTATTAAATGATTGCAGGCTGTCTGGCAATACTTAGAGGTTATTTTTATCCCGCGCGCCGTCGTGTGTTGGACCCGCGTTGAAAAAACCTATCGGCACTGCGCAACGCCCACGGAGCCCTTGCGATAACCTTAGTTTTCTGAGATGCATTTGAAGTAGGTACGATCAGCTTTCAGGTGGATAAAACAATACTGATATTTCAAGGAATCACCATACATAAGATTTGCAGAAGGAACCTTGCATCTTATTCGCCCATGGTCTATTACGACGTAAATTCTTCCAGGATTGCCGCGAGAGTTGATACCTAAAATAGTGCAATATTTGTATTCAGAGCAAAAAACAAAAACAAAAAAGGTTGCAAGGTAGGGAACTAACAAGATAATACTTCTTCCGGGGAATTTGGACCACAAAGCATCCATAGAATGCGAAAAATGCAGGAAAACTATAGAATGCACATCACATCCATTCTTTGTTTGTAAACATTGTGAAAAACATTATTATTCAATTCTATACATATATTTTCAAAATAACATTCATCGTATATTAAAGTTTATGCATTTATTTTTCATTTTTTGAGGTAAAAAATTATGCTTTAATACATTGATATACTTTATAAATTTATATTAATAATTTTAAATAACAAAGTACACGATAAATAAGCTTAAGAATGTAACATTACATAAGTACCGAATTATATTTGTTTATGATGTTAGAAGGCATTTAGGAAACCAATTTTTGCATAGGGACCGATTTCTTCCAGGCGAGCAGTTGCGTTCGTATGCAAGACATGACCTCTCCAAAGTTAATGTTCACATTTTGTCAAAATTCATATCTTTAACTGTTTCACTTTTTTTAAACCTTGGGCTTCAAAAGTTCTTCCCTAACTAAAATTGTCTCCGCACGCCACAGGTTGAGTGCAACGTGTAACGTGGGCCCTGACAAACCACGGTTGATATTTCAAATTAGGGACACTCTCCAGTTTAAAATTTCAATTTCCCAGGAACATTCCTATTAAATATTAGACGTGTTGCCCTCCTCGCAAAGGGGCAGGCAATAAAAATGTAACTGTTTGCATAAAAAAATATTACATAAGATCTTTATTTTTTTAAGAACATTAAAATAAAAATGATAATTTTTACATATTCTATATTCTATTTTTTCTGTCTACTTAAATGCTATTTTTCCATAATCGATATTTACATAAATTATGTTTACATACTTACAAGTGAGTAATAGACTGCAGATCAGCAAATGCTCCTTCTGGTACCATTGAAATGTCATTCCCATGTAGTGATCTAAAAAAAGTAAAATTAATAAGTTTTAGTTTAATACGATTTACACATACACACGCTACATAACGCTTGTCTGATACAATAGAGACGTATCTAAAAAATGTTTTAGAAGAGTATGTATTTGGTGGGTTTTTGATTGATGAATGATTCCAGGCGCGTCAGCTATTGCTAAGGTCCCGTAAGTGTACTGTTTTCACGAGAGGTGGCCAAGATCATCTTCTGCGGGATGGCGAGATCTATCCGTCGGCTTGCGAGGTTTTCCCCAACAACGGACTTCCCCTGAAGTGGGCACCGCCCCAACCGGACAAGCTGTGGTAGTGTGTGCGTGTGTGTACGGGGAGGGGATAGGACAAGGAAAAGGAAGAAATAATTCTCCTGCATAGAGCGGCTGAATTTGATTTAGCTATGTTGCTAGTGACGAAAATCGTGCCCCCGTCGCGGTACGAACCCTAGGACCTCCCGCTAAAAGGCACTGCAGTGACATCAATTAATGCCCTAAGACACTTGAGTTGTTTTTTATTAGGAGGGAAGTATTTTATTACCCAATGAAATAGTGTTTACTCTGTACTATACTACTCTGTACTATACTACTCTGTACTATACTACTCTGTACTATACTACTCTGTACTACACTTCAAGGCTACGTGCAGCACGGAGAAAGGTACACTGTCATGCAATCGGATCTTCGTTTCGACATAAATTGTTGATATTGGAGCTCCCGATTGGATGACAATGTCCCCCTATCCAGCCTCCAGCTCGTGACAATGTCCCCCTTCCAGCTCGTGACCTTGAAATGCCACTATATTTAAATCTGAGTATACTGTCCAGACTTGCCAGACCAAAAATTGAAACGAGTTGTGATGACAACAAACGATACTGTACAACAGAATTTTTTAACAAAGAATGTGAATGGTGTTCTTTGAGCTCTACAGACAAAAACTGATTTCATATATTCGAATTCAGTGTCCAAGTCTTACCAGTTTTCTTGTTACACGTTAGTTTCAATTAACGAAATGCTTGAAAACGCTGCTTATTGGTTATTTCGTTGTAGCTTTATTTATAATTCTGCACATGTAATTGTTCAGGAACAACCAAAATGTGTACAAGGAATTCCTATTCATGACACTGAATTCATAAAATTTTCCTTTAGGAAACGAAAGAGGTTTGGGAATATTACTGATAAGTCATGATTGGCGACATAATCGCCTTGTGTTTCTTCTCTGTCTCAGCATTAGGAGATCTGACAGCGTGGAAAGTGGCGTGGAAGAGACTGCACACGAAATGGGCCTCCCACATATGCTATGTGTCGTGTATTACATTCCTGACATGCTGATTAAAAGGTTCATGCCACACGACCTTTGCTGTTCTCATGATTTGGAGGAAACCAACTCATCACACAACATTCTGTTATTTTTGTCTGACACACAGCTGGAATCACCTCAAAAACGAAGAAAACTGTGCAATATCCTAATTTACCATCTGCTATAAGGCCTGTAACAGTATACGGCATTTGGAAGCCCATGATCAATTTTATCTCTCTAATCCAGTGTGTACAGCAGCCCAGGCTATCGCGCCCGAGGCCTGCTGCCGCGCCGCTCGAGCCCGCGGCGAAAGAAAATGCCCTAACAGATAGCGCCAGTTGCAGGGAATAATTTGGTGAAAGATCTTCAATTTGGAATTTGGGGTGGTATGGTTCTTCTAGAATCCCCCAGGTAAACAACGTTTACAAAAGATCACCTACATTTTAAAAGTATATTTTAATATTAATTGTACACTCATGATTGACTTCATCTCTTGCAGGCGTTTTCGATTGTGTCGGCTTGTATCCAACTTCATTTTTCTTCAAAAACTGTATCAATTTATAAAACCTATAAATGTTTATATTGCAATGTACCAATATAACGCATGTTCACCTTGGATTGTAACAAACTTACTACTATTAGAATCGAAATAATGTGTAGCTCTAGTTTGGAACACCAAGTCTGATAAATAAGTCAACCTTACATCCTCATTAACCTTCTTAGTATTATTCGTATTTTTCCAGAAACGAAAATTGTTCATATTATTTTTATACATTTCTTACTATTTCTGAGGCATTAATTGTTCAATTACTTCATTGGATTTATCCATTATCGCATTTAAAAGCATCTCTTCACCTTTCAACTCAATTTTAAAATGTTCAGAGCGCTGCAATTGTTTTCTAGATATCCAGATTGTGGGGAGAATTTTAGGGAGCTCCTAAATCGTGTTTGCATTTTTCGTCGATTTCGACTAATAAGTAATTTTTTACATTTCCTCATAATTTCAAAAGTATTTTTCTGATTTAATCGATTTTAATATTTTAATGTTCTTGTTTCAAATAATATTTACGAGTTGCAACAAATGTTCCTGTGTAGCCTATTCGATTTCTTCGGTCAGAAATTGTAATGTCAGCCCTTGTATGTAATTTAAGGTTCCTGTGACGCCTATCAGCGCTACTGTCGATTCGGCCGATTTCGGGATAACTAAAGACAGAGATTTCCTGGAAAAGAACAGTCCAAACCAAAAGCTTGCAAAACGAGTGCACTTGAACGAGCAGAAGCAGTCTTGATTACATCAGTAACGTATCCAGCTTGAATTGTTCATCCATTCGGGACTCATTTGTTACGTCATTTTCCTTTGTTGTTAGGGTATTTTTTAAAACACTTTAAGAGCATTTTATTGATAATTTTTGGCCATTTAGGTCATCACAATCCGCCCACTACTTATTACCTTCAATTGTCTTCTTCATATCCGCAGACTGGCTGATTAGCTTCGGTACAATTTTCACATTTTCCTCGACGGCCTGAGTGTGGGAATGGAACCATGTCTGATTTTTGAATGTGGTGTAATCAACTACGATTCTTCTCAATTCATCGTGTGGTATTTGTCTCGAGATAAGTAGTTCTCTGATAGTACCTTCCTACTGTATCAACTGTGTAACTTGAAGCTGCAAAACTCCTGCACTCGAAAAGTCAGGTTTTCATCATTTCCATTTCTTTTCCATTCGAAGAATCTATTATTGTAGATTAGATTATAAAATTAATATATATTTGAAATGCAGAAAAAATCCGAGAAAAGAAAAGCGTGGCATTTCAGAGTGCCTCCTTCTGCGGCGTGGTCTCAGGTGAACGCGATGACATGGACACTGTTGTAAGCTTCGAATCAAAAAGGTAAAAACTAATGGACTTCCTAGTAGTAAGACTAGTAACTTCCAAAACCTTTTCATCTCTTCACAAATATGTTCAATGCAGCATAAGAGGCGAAAAAGAAATCTGACATCGCAGGGCGGATTGGAGTCATTTACAGTGACGGCGCGCCGCTAAATTTTAGCTGATTGCAGTGAAACACAATTGTTCGAATCAAGGTTCTCAAAGAAGAGATTTCATGTTTTAATCTTATCTAAATTAAAAGTATTTTTGATAAATATTTACGGGTCTACGTATATTGAAAATACGTCTTCTATAGTTTTAACTTAAAATTGGCCATATTCGGACTAATGTGGCACACTGAGCAAAATAAGTAACATTTGTTGGTCATAAAATTGTTGCCAGATAACATGGACACCACCTCAGCGAAAAATCCGTTAACAAAAATACCATCAAATAATATTTATTCGTTATTTTCTAAATAGTAGCGAAAAAGACCGACAAATACATAAACAGACCCGTTTGCGGGGGCTGTGGAACCCCTCAACAGATTTTAAAAACTGTTTTATTAGTGCCAATGTTCTTACATCACAAACTAACATTTTTCACTAAACCAATGAATTCTATTTTTTCGATACATATATATATATATATATATATATATA